TATTCCTCAGATGCCCCTTACGAGAGTTGAGCAGGGTTAAGCTGAGTTTTTCTCTAACAATGAAATTTGTAATTGTATATACATCCGTCTTCCACCGACCGCAGTACTGACGTGAAATATCCTCAGTGGTAGACGGATCATGGGTTAGAGTCCCCTTGTCGTCAGGCTAACCGTGGGAGGTTCTCGTGGTCTTCCACTCCATGTAACGCAAATGCGCGTTAGTTCCATCAAAAAGGCTTCCACAAAGGCGAAATTTCTTCCAATACTTGATCCTTGTCTTCTGGATTGGGTTAAAAATTACGAGGTTGTGGAGTTGAACATTAGCAGTCGTAAGCCCAAAAATTGGACAGGCTGTTCAACGACGTTTATTAAAATATAAAATAAAATTATATATACAGCGAAATTATATTTCAAATATTATTTTCAAGTATCATTGAATTGCAAATCAAATCATATCATAACGTATACAAATTGAATGAAATGTATACAAATCAAAGGTTTCATGGGATGCACATATTGCATATTTTTAATAACTCACTTTTATATTTAAAAAAATTATTACAATGCTTTCAAATCAAGCATTTATAAGATATTCTACATAAGCAATTTTACATGTCCAAAAAATCAATTTAAAAGAAATAAAACATCAATACTTTTTCACTGGAGTCAACATATTTCAAAATATTCGAAACTTAGTACCGATTGTACAAATATTATTTCCAAAACTGTTACAAACCAATAAATTTCTTTTTAAAATTTAGTTTATTATGTAACATGCGTAAACCACATTATGATTTAATCGAAATCTAAAAAAAAACTGAAATCATATTTGTATACATGAGTGAGAATTGATATTCTAATGCTCCATAATAATGACTCGATTTATATGCACAAGAAAGTAAATTTTTTAACATAAAATATTCCTGATTCATATGTTTTTATGTCTGTTTATTTTCAAGTATTTGAAATTCCTTCATTTGAAGTAGGAAAAGAAAACAATTCAAGAAAACAATAATATTTCACAAAATATTTCTGAAGACTTTTTTTATTATTACAATTTCTCATTAAGAAAAGTAAGTTTTAAAAGAGAAAATCTTTTTTTGCCATAAGAAATTGTTTTTTTTCTACTAGTAAATATATTTCAATATTTTCAAAATTGTATTTATAAAAAGTACATAGCAGAGTTATGGAATGAAAGGGAAATTTTATTTCAAATGATTTGCCATTTATATTTCATGAATATTTTAAAATGCAATGTTTATCGTCTTTTTGAAATTAATAAACATTCTTGTAATACTCTTGAAAACTTTTACGTGAAAAAATAACTGAAAATCGGCGAATATATTTTCATTACTTCCAAATTTTCTGAATACTATAATTAAGACAAGATATCTGAAGTTAACAAGATATTTTAAATCCGGTATCATATAACCCTAAATAAGATATACACCGAAGAGCCATTACATTATGACCACCCTCCATCCATAACAATGGGCTCTCCCAGGTTTTCATGGTTTCTCGCCCAAGAATAATGTTTTCATGGGGCACATTAGGATCCATAATCCTCATGGAACAATCCCTGGCGTCTTTAAGCTGCTTGAACATAGTTGCAGACCAGGTTCAACCATTCATGGCAACAGTTTTTCCTGCGTTACCAACAGGATAATGCACCATGTCATAAGGGTCGAATCGTGGAGGAACATTCCAATGACTTTCAAGTCATGTCTTAGCACCCAAATTCACCTGACCTAAATCCAATACAGCATTTGTGGTCCTACTTGGAAAACCAAATTCGTGCTGCCACGCTAAGCCCCCCCCCCCGCAATATGAGGGAATTGCAGGACCAGTTGGTGAGCGCTTTGTCCCAGATACTTCAGACTACCTATCAGCACCTTGTGGAATCAATGCCACGGCGGGTGCTAGCAGTTTTGAGGGCTAAAGGTGGTCCTNAATATGAGGGAATTGCAGGACCAGTTGGTAAGCGCTTTGTCCCAGATACTTCAGACTACCTATCAGCACCTTGTGGAATCAATGCCACGGCGGGTGCTAGGAGTTTTGAGGGCTAAAAGTGGTCCTACATATTATTAGCAGGGTGGTCATAATGCAATGGCTCTTCGGTGTAAATTATGACCTAAATAATTTTCAGTACTTTTAAATTTTCTGAATACAATTTAATCAGGATATCAGAATTGAACAAAATATCAACAATCAAGCATCAAATAACCCTGAATAAAATTTAAATTGTAACCTGAATAATTTTCACTACTTTAATTTTCTGAATAACATAATTATAATATTTGTCACAAAGAAATAAGTAATTGAATATCAACAACAAAAGAAACAATGCTTAAAATAAAAACTGTCTGAAAAGTATAAGAATATGAAATTACATTTTTATGCTTTTGTATTGATGTTGCAATGAAATTTCGAAACTTAAATCGAATAATGATGGTAATAATAGTAATAATAATGTGTTTTAAATAAAAGTCACTTTTGTAATTTGATTTATAGCCAATAAATGTTGAATAAAAAATGAGATTTCTTATTTACCCACAGTCACTATTTTTAGCAATGGCAGGTGTACTTAAAGAAATCTTATTTATTGTTGTTTGATCGTTAACATTGTATTACCTTACATTTCTAGCTCATTATCTCAACTTTCTTTGATGTTTTCGTTTCTTATCTGAGCTTTCTTTTATTTCTGTTTCATTTTTCTGTATATACCATTCAGTCACAAAGTATAACTACTTTTTGAACTACTTTTTGAACTACTTAATGTTACTTAAAATCTTTCAAACGTTAAAGAGAAAAATTATTTCAAAAAAAATTATTGAGGTCTACCATTTCAGAACTGTTACTTTCCACGATTCAACAATTTTGGAGTGTATTTTGGATCTAATTTCATCCCAAAATTTTGGCGAAATATAAACTCTTAAACATTTGACAAAACGGCACTCACATTGCGCTGGCTCACATTCTCTATATTTAATGTTGTATTTCTAAATCAATGGTGTTAATAGACGTGCTGCATTGAGCTTAGTACTTTTGATGAAATTATTATGCTCATACAAGTTAAGATGACGAATCTCTCAATAAAATATAATGTTCACTGGGGACATTTCCCATGAAGTTGTTGCATCAGTAACGACGAAAGTTTCGAGGATTTCTATGATCCTTTATTAATAATGTAAAAAATAAGAAAAAAATTCTATGGGTTTAATATATAAACGTTTAGGCAACGAGCACGATCAGCTTATAAATCAATAATAACTGTAACTGTGCATAAAAGTACTATCTTTGACTTATTTACACTTTTTTAAGCAGTTTATTCTATATACTCAAATTTGGCCTTATTCGTTTCTGTGTAAAGATATGCACAGCATTCAACACCGTAGGCTTGTAACTTTGAACTCAATCAGTGTTGATACGAGTCATACATATTGAACCCAACCCAGGTTGATACGAACAAGTCACTGCAACCATAAGTTGATACAGAGCAGTGGTGGAGCAGGGGATGGGGCGGTCGCCTCCCAATTAGTTGACCCGGGTTCGATCCCAGCGATAGCTGATCGATTCGAATTCCACACCTGGCTAGCACCGACCACAGTGCTGATGTAATATATCCTCAGTGGTAGACGAGTCGTGGGTTAGAGTCCCCTTGCCGTCTGTTAACCGTAGGAGGTTCTCGTGGTCTTCCTCTCCATGTAACGCAAATGCAGGTTAGTTCCATCAAAAAGTCCTCCTCGAAGGCAAAATTTCTCCCAATACTTGATCCAGGACTTCCTTCGTCTTCTGGGTTGGATTAAAAATCACAAGGCTACGTAGTTGAATATTAGTTGTCGTAAACCCAAAAATTAGGTCTGATGTTCAAGGACGGTTATAAAATAAAATAAAATAAGTTGGTGCAATATTACTTCCGGGGGTTGTTAGAAAATTTCATTGCCAAAGTATTGAACACTAGGTTATTTGCTTAGGACTTACAAAAAGAAAAAATGTTTTTTTCCAGTCTAGTCCAATCGAAAAACGTTTCTGAATCTATTATTTTGTTAGTATTGGAAAGTTATCGTCATTTCTATTAGCGATAAGGCAGAGCAATGAATTTACGAAACAATCTGTAATTGTACAGACATCTTGCAAAAAACTCCCGTTACAGTTTCAGCTCTCTAGTCAATCCACAAGTTATTAAAATTTTGATTTACGGTAAATTTTTTATGGCAATCAAAGTGCGAAATCTGTTTTTTTTGGGGGGGCAAAAAATACTTGAAACTTACATTTTCATCAAGAAAAAAGTTCCTGTAAAAATTTGAGTGCTCAATATATTTAGAAAATTGTTAGAACTTGGATGGTTAGAACATTTAGAACTTGTTTCTAAAGTATTCATTTTAACAGAAACCAGAGCAAGTTAATAAAAACGAAATAAAAATCTTTTAATCGGTTAATTTGTGGCAAATACCAAATACCTGAAATTGTGTTGTTAGACTTATTTTTCTCATACAAGACAGACTGCCATATTTAATGCTGTAAAAATAGTTAATTTAATAGATTTATTTCAAACATTTCTGCAAAGGAATTAAAACATTTATTATAAAAGTTTAAAAAGTTACACTTAAAGTAGCGACATTTAAAAAAATTTTAATGAATCAAAAGACAAAGCTGTACTTTTCCATTTCGCCACGGCTTAAGTTAATTCAGTTGTTTTATTCATTCCTTTAGTTTTTTTTTTTTAATAGACATTGCCAAAAAAATGAAAAAAAATTAATAAAATAAGAATTTACATGCACTCGGTGACTTTTCTTTGCCAACTATATGACTTGCGCCTACGAAATGGAAAAGTACGAACAAAGTAATTGTATTTAAATTATCCTTTTTATCTAATAATCTTTATTTTACTCATATTATATTGTTTTCTTAGCGTAATTCAAACAATTTTTACATTTCAGCAAGTTTAAATATTTTTTATAACAACTCAATTTTAAAAGCTTCTAGCAATTTCACGAATTTTAAAATTCTTGATAACCATGCACTTTTTTCAATTCCAAAGTATGTTTTTCAAAAATATCTTGTAATTCATTGCGTAAATCTTCAGCTTTTTCTGGAGGATCCCAATACTCTATTAATTTTTCTTCTGTATCATACTCTCTGAGCTCAAGCTGTTGCAGGCGTTGAGCTCGAGGTTTGCCTTCAGCGAAAGTGCCAAGTGTAATACAGTTTGAGGTAAGTTCCAACTCATCTGGCGTTGTTGATTTGTATGAGTTTGGTACCGTTGAAATATTTATGTTCCCATTGAGAGAACCACAAGCTATAGCACTATCGATATCACTGATACAAATACTACAGAGAGCTTCTTTTCCCAATGTTATACGCTTAAGAGGTTGGATCGGCTTTACAGGTACACTCCAAATATCTAAATCTCCAGTAGTGTTGATGGTATAAAGCAAACAAGGTTTAAGTGGACTCCAAGCAAAGTCAGTAAAATATCCGTTCCCTGTTCGTATATTTAATATAGGAAACTCACTAAAACCTTCTGACCAAACTTGAATAACCCAAGGATTACAAGAAGCGAATAGTTGAGGAAAGAATGCATTACGCTCGACAGAAATTACTGGTCCCGATTGAGTTTTATACATGTTTTCAATCTTTTCTTCTGATTTTCTATTCAGGCATAAAATTGTTCCTTGCTCGGTACCAAGCATGCATTTATTAGGGACTGTGCGGTCGTACTCAGAACAAGTAACGCTGCAGTTTTCACCAATGTCTTTAAAAGTACTTGGCTCTAGTGTTACTACCTGAGTTGCTTTTAATAGGTAACGTGCATCCCAAGATAAAACTTTTCGATCCGTAGATACGGAAAAGAAATCCATTTTACTTGTAGTTTCCAGCCAATTGATGCCAGTTACAACTTGCGAATGGCTTTCGTGCACTTCTGTCATTTGCTGTGCATGTCCAGAGATTCTAATGTCCCATAAACCAATTTGACCATTACTGAGGCCAGCTAGAAGTAAGTTCAAGTCATTTGGAGAGAAGCTAACGCAGTTTAATTGAAACTCTGGTGTTAAAGAGCAGAAAGGGGCAACGTTGTTTTGTATGTCCCACACAAAAGAATCTGTACAAGCTGTATCAAAATCACTTATGGAATAAGCACCTGCTATTTTTGTTGCATCTAACGCCCATGACAAATCTACCACTTTTCTTGCAATCTTCGATGGATCACGCAATACATACGAGAAATTAAAAGATCCTTCGTCACTAACCTCTATACCTTCTTCTTTGAAGTACTCCTCGTAGATGTCAATGGAATTGTTTTCCTTGATAAAAGTTTCAAGAAACTCACCCATTGCTTTCACAGAATTCACATAATTTTTATCTTTGTCGATTTTCTTCCGAAATCTTGCAGTGCTGTCCTCGTCGGTTATGTCAATTGAAGCTGGCCATCCACCTTCAGTGTGATTCATGCCTCTGTTTTCTTTTTGTCGAGATTCTGTATTGACTTCATGTATGCCAACTTTAGTAGAGTTGTCTACTTCTCTACTCACTGAAGAGACTACATAAAACTCGTCTTGAAGTGCCTTATTAGAAGGAATTTCTGCTAATATGTGTGGTCCAACGTCTGTAAAATTGCAAGGCTTTCCAAATTCTTTTCTCTTCTGCGTATATATGTAAGAAATATCCATCTTATATTAAAAATGAAGATTGACAAATGAATCTGTTAGCAAACTATGTTTTTACATTGCTTTCTTGCTTCTTATGCTTATGCAATCTGAAATTGGAAATCTTTTTCAAAAAAATCATTTTAATTTAAATCTTCGAAAAAAGTCAATTCGGCGTTGTTTTACAAAAATTTCTTTTAATTTTTACTAAGTGTTTAATTTTTACTAAGTGTATATTTCCAATTTGTCATACTTTGAAAAAGACGAGTAGCTCTTTTATTTGCTATGGAATGTTTTGGCAAGATACTTTAACCTAAAGGTAAAATACAGTTATTTTTTTCTAGAGAATATGAATCTGCAATAAAAAATAGGGGTTCTTATTTAAGATTTCAAAGTCTCCCCTCACCCAAACTTCAGGGATCGAAGGTAGATCAAGTTTTATATCGTTGAGTATCTCTTAAAAATATAGAATGCATCAATTTTTCCTTTTTGGATCCGATGTATATTTCTTGATATATTTGACAGTTTCGAAACTTTTTTACACCCTGCATATCGAATAAAAAAAATTTAAAAAATTAAAGAAGTTTTTTCTATGCACGAAAAAGTAAGAGATAAAATATTGCATGCAACTAATTAGTCTCGGCTAATTTTCCAAGCACATTTTATATAACTTTACCATATATTTTATATAACTATAGTGATACTTCCGTATCACTAATTTCAAATCTGTGATCGTTTTCTCTCCCCAAGCTACAGTTTATTTTTTTAAATTACACTTTTAACTTATGTTTTGTTGAAATGTACAAGTTTAAAAACCTTATGTATTACAGGGGGTCGCATAAATGTTTTGACTAACTTCTGGCAGAATTAAGGCACATCATCAGGATTAAAATAACATAGCAACCAATGTCTGGAAATGTCCTGAAGCACTGTGTGCTTCTGAACATGCCATGACAGGGAAGATGAACTAGCCGACGTTTCCGGACATGGGCTCCTATGCACTTTTAATCCTGGTGATGTGCCCTAACCCCCTAGAACTTTGTTGCAATATTTATGCCACCCCTTGTTATATATAACATTTTAAACATGTACATTTCGACAAATAATTTACAAAAAGTGTCATTTAAAAAAATCTGCACCTTTAGGAGCCTAACCATATTCAGATTCGAAATTCCCACACCAGAATTAAGCAAGATCAAGTATTTGTATAAATGCAGAAAAAAAGATTCTTTCCCAGTGTTATCAAAATTGCATAATTTCATCAGTTTATTCAAATCTTTATGAGTCGGCAAAAAAAGGAAACAATATTACTTTTAATATACAAAGCATATTATACTATATAAACCAATTTTCACTCTGATAAATTGTAATAAATAATTAAAAATAATATTAATATTTTATACATGTTGAAAATTTAACCAAACTTTCGTAGAATTTCTTTGGAAATTACTTGTTCATGAAAAATTTTATTATATTGATTTTGTATACTTTTATATCAACCATGTAATTGTTTAGTGATTAATTTAAGTGTTACGTTGCAATTATTATCAATTTAGGCATAGTGTATGATTTTGAAACTATCATAAACTATAAACTTTTATTCTTTATTCGATAAAACTTTCCGAATTCCTAATTAAAAATATGCATTAGCTTTATATTGCCTTGCTTTATATTCTCTTATTAAAAAATTCTAATTAGATTTAGTGTAAATTATTAGTTTAGCATCGTTTCATATCTTCATTATGAGAGAAATCTGAAGGAAGAGGAACTTCATTTCAGTATATATTCTAATCTCTTGAAGTAGTATAAATGAATGCAATGACAGGAAAAAAAGTTATTATTGATAAAAATTTGCTGATAATTCATGCTTAATAATTCCTTTATGAGCGTGTAATAAGCATTACAAACGCTTATTAAGTTCCATTTATGCGTATAAAATAATATTTAATTAAAATTTTTAATTGTAAGGCTGTTGATCATTTCAAAATAAAAGTTCTTTTCTCGTAGAATAATTTTAAATACTAAAGAAAAGATAAGCTTTTAAGCACTAAATAGAAACTAATTTTACTATTTATTTTGACAGTAAGATTTTTTAAAAATTTTAAACTATAATATGAATGCTGCAGTATTAAAGTTAAACCATGCCGATGATCTTAAATCTTTCAAAAATTATTAGTTGAAAGATAGAATTTGTTCGAACATTTCAACTAATAATATTTTTTCCTTTTTTGCCCAACAATTTCTTATGAAAATAAGGAGCCACATAATATAAATTCAAAAATTAAAAAGGGTAGAAAATTTACATTTTAATACATATTTTTTTCTTAAAATAAAGATGATTCTGGAACAAAATAACGTAAGAAGACTTCTTGCAGTAAAAATGTATTGAATATGTGTGGAGTATAATAGCGAAACCATCGGGACTGATGTTTTGAAAGTGGGAAATAATTTATTTTTATCTCAGATATTAATCCTAGTTAAAGCCCACAATACTATATAAATTATCAAAGTGCTGTAGTAAATTTGAATTTAAACATATAGATTTATACTTATTCGGTTAGTGAAAATATTCTTCATATGTATTGTTTACCTCTAATTATTCATTTTATTTTCTTATAACGCATATCAAATTTATAGTTCCGTTGCAATGAATATTTTGCTACTTTAAATTTCAGAAATCTTTAAAATGTCCGAGAAACAAAATTGAGTTGAAAGTTTGCAAGTGACCTAATGCAGATAACCCCCATTTTACAGTGTTTAAGTCAACCAAAAGGTCAAACATCTTAAGAAATATGGACCAAAAATCTAATATTCAGTAGATAAATATTTTTAAAAGATGCATGACTTGACCCCGTAATTCACCCCTTGGGGTGAGGTGAAGGTTACATCAAAATCTTAAATAAAAAGATTTGATTTTGGTTTGATTAAGAATATTTTGATTTTACAGAAAAATGCACTCCAATTTTACAAACAAGATTTTGTATTCTGGTTGAGAGTTGGCCCTGTTACTCCAAAAAAATGAAGCTTAAACTGTTTAAATAGAGTTATCTCTGACAATGCAAGTAAAAAAAGATAATAAATAATAAATAATGTGTTTATTGTTTTTTATAAACCTATCTCATGACACCAAACTTGATTCTAGCCCACCTCCTGGGAAGACTTCCACGGAAGAAGCTAAAGTAAAGGGTGGGAACGAGCTAGCACTATTTTTCGAAGCTCTGTCACCAAGGAAAATAAAAAAGCCATAGTTTAAGTGCTTTTCACTTAAAGCAATTTGATGATTTTAAACTATATATTTAATCTTGCTGTGAAGAATTATCTGGGCTTCAGAACAGCAAATTACTCAAATATTTTAAAAATTATTAAAGTTTTTAAAAAATCGCGAATTTGGTGACATTTTTCCACCTAGATGAAGGTTATCAAAATCACTGCCGTATTCTTATGTTTTGCAAATTTTTATGAGCCCAGGTAGAGCAACATTGAAGTAAGTTTTTAAATATTAAAAAATTAGACCACAAACAGTTTTTATTTTCACTTTTGGCTTTTCTTCATGCTGACGTTTTGCGCCATTTTCAAAATAAGCATAGACAGAGCTGGCTTTAGATAAGCTAAAGTTGACCCTAACAGTCATGAGTAACAGTTGCAAGCTCAAAATTTTATAGAGTAAATAGAATTTAACAAGTTTAATTTAAATTGCAACTCAAATAGTTGTTTTATATTAGTGAAATAAAAACAAATCATTGTGTAATATAATATATTTATCAGACACTGAGGATACCACTTTTAAAATGAGTCAATTTTTACTTGATTTGGGCAATTCCATGAAAAAGGGGGAAAGTATTGGAAAATTTAAATAAGAATAATGTTATTAATTTGAATTTTTTCTGAATTAGAAAGGTTTGAAGTTTGATAATTTATAATAATTTTTTCTTGAGACTTTAGTGTTGGCAACCCATTGAACATTGGCATTTGCTTGCTCTGATTTGGGGGAAAAACTTGGTCAGATTTTGAAAATCAGTAAGTTAACATTATCCTCCTTTCGAAATGTTTCAAAGAATAAATATTGTTTATTACACTTAATAGAAATATTGTGTAGTGTTAAAATAAGTTTTTGTTGTTAAACTCACTTAATTATATAAATTTCAACTAAACATTAATGCATGTAACGTAAGTTGCCATAAACTAGGAAAAGTTTTTATGTGTAAAAAGTAAGACGTGATACAAAAGTAGGAATAATATTTTTTCTTTCTTAGAGGCTAGCACTAAATAAGCAGCAATAGTTTTTCTTTCAAATATTATTTATTTGTTGTTTTGTGCACTAATCAATATGTGTAACGTAAGTTACTGACTTGCATGTAATGTAAGTTACCAATGTGAAATGAGCTTATTTCTCTTGAAAATTAGCATATAAACTAAATAAGATGTATCTCGTTGCAATACCGAAGTTTCAATAAATAAACACTGCCTTAAGATATTAATTTTATTGAAAATCTTTGCATTAAGTTATTTAATTGGGTGTTCGCATTCATATATTTTCAAAGTCGACGAAATCTCTCGACAAGCACCAGGAGTTAAGGATGTGATGGAGTTAAGGTGGCAAAAAGGAAGCACTGCATCTTCTTCATTCAGTTCGAGAAATGCATCAAATGTTTATAGAAAAAATCCAGAATGCCAGTTCAGGAATCAATATACAGCTTCGGTCTTACCTGTTCTTGAGCTTCATTATGGAAAATATTAATGTGGAATTATTTTGCCCCGTCACACAGCAAAGGTTCTGTTGATGGGAAAGGTGGATCTACTGAAAGGAGTGGGAGAAATGTCGTATTGAGAAGAAAACATATTGTCACCAATGTCTCTGAGTTTGCGGTAGCAACACAAGAGCATTCAACAAAAATAAATGTGTTAGAAATCACACCAGAAGATATTAAGAACAGTCAGAAAAAGTTACATCTGTCTAGTCTCAAAAGCTCTACAGATTAAAAACATTAAGCAGATCCACCATTTAAAAGTACAAGAAGGCATACCAGATGGTTTTTTTAGTGAAAGATG